AAAGTAATCGGATTACAGTAACGCGTTACTGCCCATCTCTGCCTAACACTATAAAAACATGATCTAGCATTGTTTAAAACTAAGTGACTTGACATTTGTGCTGTCTTCAGGTCCAGAAGGAAAGTGACTGTGCTCACTTTCAACATGATCTCTAATAATTTCCACTTGTTCTGATCACTTCCTGCCATGTCCAATATTACACTAAAGGGACATCATGCTACTGCAGCCACTGGCTGTGACACTAAGTTCATCTAAACGTGTCTGAGCGAGCGGCCTGAGAAGGACCAGAACCCTGTGCCGAGGTATTAATATGACAGCACAGCTCTTTACAGCTTTGACAGCCCTGCAGCCTCAGCGAGTGAGCCCACGCTCCCTTAAGCAGCTTTCCATGACTGTCAGTCTGGGAGTGGTGCTGCTAGAAGCAAACTGCATTGGTGGGTATGATAAAGTGGGATGACACAGCGCTTCAGGTGGAGTTCAGCTGCTCCCTACCAGGACTGGATTTACTGTGTGACCGAGGATGACACTTTATTTTCTAAAGTGGCTGTCACATTCATTTTAGACTTAAATTACAGAGAGCCACCTACAAAATCCATTTTTAGTCACAAATTACACATCAAATTCCAGATGCCAGTAGCACAGCAGCAGACATACATTGATCAGCACCATAAGCCATTGTTGCTACTTCCATTCTTTGCTTTGAACTGGAACCATGACATGAGACCATTATAAGACAAAATTATGAAACCGTGATTGAATTCAAAATCAAATGAAAATACATCAAAACACCATTGTCTTCATTCCTATAAAATCAATTGCTGCTTTTCTCTCCTGCTGGCTACCAACCTCAAGATTCATTAATAAAGCAATTTGATACCAGCAGCTCACAGCAGCATGTGAGTCAGCTGTGGAGACTGCTTTGGGAAAACCCACCTTCCATACTTGAATCACATGCACGATTCATTCATATGCAAAGTGAGAGGATAATCCAAAGTGTAGGGTATGTGGGGAAAAAGTAGTGGTAGTAAGAGTGGGCAGAGGAAATGGGGAGGGGAGCGGTACTTTGAGTCATCAGTGACACTCGGATCTTACCAGTATTATGCTGATCCGTCTCTCTCTCTCTCTCTCTCTCTCCCTTTATTCTCTCTCTGGCCTGCCGTCAGTGTGGGCTTTTCGTTCTCCATCAGTTGAATGCCCACAATAATGATCAGTGCACATGCTGTAAGATGCGGCGAGCATGTGTCCACCTGGCCAGCTGCATGCAAGTGTATGTCACTGAAGGGGAGGAGGATACCTTAACCGGACTCTTCAGTGTGAGGCTGAAATAGAACCAGTGCTCCCCTCTCTCACTCTCTCTACCCTCCCCCCCCCCCTCTTTTTCCTCCACTCTCTGTCTCCTTCTCGGTGGCTGGCCAAGCTCCTCTCCTCTGTGTCCTGCTCTCCACCTGGCCTCCATGAGTTTAATTGAGGACAAGCCATTCCTCCCTGGAAGGTAAGCAGCGTAGCCGCGGGGTGTCCATTTCCAGAGCAATACAAAGAGATTAGACAATAACAGAAAAAAAGAGGGGGGGATCAACAATGATGTCGCATTTATGTGACTCCCCAAATTTTGCTTGTTTTTTTTTAGTGTTTACTACCAGTAAACAGCGAGATATAGGTGCTGACATAGATCTATATATA